AAAGATTCAAAACTACAGAATAACTGCATAGTAGTGTGTGAAAATTTATCATAGGGGTCTTTCTGGGGGTGATCAGAATCCCACTAAAGGGAGTATGGAGTCTGGATTAGACCCTAGATACAGAATTGCAGTAATTTGGACTTCAAAGTTGTTATTCAGATAGAGCCAATGGAAATGACTACTGTGCCTTTGAGTTTTGGTCTCCAATCTGTCTACTAGGAAAAGGAAAAGTGCCTTTAAAATGGGGATGTGTTTTAAAATGGGCCATGTGTTCTACATTTCTTCTAGAATCTGAAGCGTTTTCTGTGTGATCAACTCAGTCATTGTGTGGTTAGCAAATGATTGCTTTTCATTAGAGACCCATTGTCTCCTATGCAAATGCATCCTTAAATGCATAGAAGTGGATGGGGAAATTGTGCTTGGCAAAACTGAGCATAGTTTTGGCTGTGTCCGGCCAGGTACCATTGCAGTAAATCCTTGTGAATGCCAGTCTCCAAGGGCTCCAGTTACTGTGGTCTAAGAAGTCGATGAAATAGTGAAAGAGATTTACAGAAATGTGTGCAACCTTGATGTTGAGTGCTGAGAGCTGACATGTTTCATCATCCTGGCTCTGCTGGTGTGTAGAGACTTGTTGAACTGTGCTTTCTTTGCCTTGAGTCTGAGCTTTTCTGAGCAGGTTACCATCTTAATTGTACAAACACTGGGAGAAAGGCAAAGGCTGTTAATTTGAATTATGGAGGAGGTTTTCAGGCTTTAGTGCATTGAACAATCTCCTCAAGGTTATGTGGGGAGTGGGCTGCTGTGCCTGGTATGTAAGGACAAGCTGTTTTGTTGAGGTTGCAGGTCATCCTTGGGTTTCAGCTCAATTTGAGGTTAGTGGTTTGAGGGTAGTGCATCTGACCCACTGTTGTTTTACTGCTACTTCATGGTTCCACACTTCCACTAATACAGCTGGAGCTTTAGCCCTGTCTATTGCCAGTTTATGGAAAATACTGACATTCCTAATTGTTTAATAAATCATTAATGAAGCTTTTAGTGTGTGAGAGGGTGTGCATATTGATTTTGTGTATGCATATTTAGGTATTGGGACAAGAAAGTAAGGCTGCTGAGAGACTCCTGAGAGATCTAGAGAGAAGAACATGCACAAATTATAATGAGGTATAAAGGTTTTCCATTCCTTAGGATGGAGAAGTTGACATATTAAATCGCACACACTCTAATGACTGACTCAGAGAATTTGAAGGAAATACAGCTGTGCACATTAAAGCTTAGAAATAGAAACTTCATCAGTCAGTAGCAGTTCAGAGTGAATGGAGAAATCATGAAATTATTAATTATGGTTTTTAGAGAAAGGAAACATAAAGTCCCAACTCTCCAAAGGCAGAACACTGCCTTCAGTGTCTGCCAGGAATCAGCCCCTCATCCTGCTGGGCTGCTCTGTAGAGATGGAGGCTTTTGCCCAACCACAGGCACCTGCTGCCATTTTCAATGCCCTAAGCCAACGCAGCCGTCCCCCTGGCTAGCAGATGCGACACAGGGCATAGGGAAGGCTCCTGTCCTTCTGCAGCAGCAGCTGGATGCCCTGAGGCATCTCGGATGGCAGCAGCTGCTGCTGTTGGAGGACTGATCGCACGCACACGGAGGCACGGACTCGCTCTCACTCGCATCATTAATACACAGTCACCTGAAGCATCTCAGTAGTTCACAGCAGTGTTTGCAGAGGGTAATTGCAGAAAGCAATGAACAGTTTATCTGATTTGAAATTCAGGAGAATTTTTGAGATGAATAGAAGGCTTATTTAGATTAAAATCTGACCGTGATACAATGTTATAAACTCTCCCTGTGCTGGAAACTGTAGTTAAAATCTATGACTCAAAGTTGCAGTGAATGGTTGTTTTCCTAATGACCTCAAATCCATGAAATGATTCTAACATTTGCCTTTTTATATATTCATAGTTAAATATAACTTGAATGTTGTCCTAATTACATTCTCATGTTAATTTAGCTCTGATTCAGAATTTCTATCATTATTCTTTGTAGAATTATTTTGAAATGATGGAAAGTTCAGTAACGATGCTCCAGTGTGTGATTGTGCCTTTGAATTATTTATCACATTCAAAGACAGAAATATGGTTAAATCTAGTTTGAGTTGTAAATGAGCCTTAGTAATGTAAGGAGGAAGTGAAACTCCTCTTTGCAGAAGGACGTGGTTTATGGGAGCATCATTTGATAATGCAGGAGCATCACGCGGCCCCACGTCAGCAGAGAGCCTCATAAGAAAACATCCATCGCACCAACTGGCAAATGCTATCTGAGCAGATAAGGCAGATAAAGAGTGGAGGAGGAGAGAGAGATACATAGACAACTTGCACAAATGACAGAACAGATTAGTGATGGAATTAAGAAGAGAAAACAGATGTCTTGCCTTGGTCAGCAGCAGAATTCACACGGCTCGTGCTCTCTTTACTGCATGCTTTGGGAGTGAGCTCTCACAAGGGTGTTTAGCCCTTGGTTTTTACAATGCATCACAGTGACAAGTAGTCCAGTGTTAATACATGGCTGTAGAAACTATGATTAATGCAAAAAAATCATACCTGTGGCCCTGAGCCAGGTAGAGAACAAACAATTGCTGGTGAGGCGTGAGCAGGGCTGAGGGGGAGTGAGGAATTCTGGAGGAGGAAAGGAAATTGTCTTAATGTAAGCACCAGTTTTGCTAGAGGTAAGTGAGGGGAAATTCTTCATTTATAAATGGTTCGTTGACCCATGATAATAAAGCAGTGCTGCAGAAGAAGGATAATTATTTACTTAAGTATCAGATGCCCTAAGGGTAAAAGCTTCCCTTCTCTCCTTTTGAAAAATGAACTCAGATTAAACGAATGTCCTTTTTCCTGTTTTACTGTTGACATGGATTTCCTTTTTATGAGTAGAATTAATTAGTTTTTCTATTCCTTTATTCCTGCTATGGAAATCAGGTCTGCCAAGCAAGTTTCCAGCTCTTCCCTTGGGCCCTGAGTTCAGCCAATAGCATCCTTTGTGAAGATGCTTTGTACAGTGTGCTGGGAAGGCACAAATAAATTACAGGAGCTCTATTATGCCCTGTAGCTCACCAGGAGAAACAGCTTCCTAACACTAAAAATCCACAAAATGAGACTTCTTTCCCTAATCAAGATTGGTTCATTTCTACGTATGTTTGCTAAATATGCATTTCTCCTTCCTTAAAGTATTTTAATGTCGTGAGTTATAAAAAGAGGAAATGAGTAGTGGTGGCATAGCTGCTGTTGTACTGAGTGAGGAAGGGCCAAGTTCTCAAAGCAGATTAATGTCCACAGCTGAGGCCGGGCCTCTCCTGTTGAGAGCAGAGAGAGCTGCTAGCTGTGGAGCTTGCTGGAAAAATCTGCTCCCAGTTAAGCAAATATCTATTGCAAGATTGTCTGTCCTCATCTGGACTCTAAAAAATTATCAAAACCTGCCCCTACTTCTTTGCAACCAGAAAATGTCTGCTCTCCCCCTCCAGTCAGAATTTTAATTGAGATTCCAATAATATGAAGCTTGATGAATGCAAACATATTTCTCTGTTTTTGGAAATAAAACATTGTTTGCATGCGTTAGTCATTTTTTGTTTCAAATGTCTCCTGAGGTTCTTGAGGCATCTTAACTCATATCAATGTAACCTCTGTGTGAACAACTACAGAGCATCTCCTAGTTGCATTTCTTGGAACATGACGAATGTTCCTCAATACCTGCAGGCTTTAAGATGCAGTAAAAATAAATATTACTGTAATACAATGGCACGGAGCTTAATTTTCTTCCAATAGTCCTTTGAGCACTCGTTTTAATACTGAAAAAACAAGAAGTTGTTAATTTTCCTTGCCTTTGGTCAGGAGAATTCAACTGCCATTAAAGGTGATTGTAAGAGCACAATACAAACACAAACTGTAAATCAGAAAAAAATTCCTGTCTGCAGGGAACAGAAATTAGAAGCGAGTCCCAAGTGCTTTCTTGTCTGATTTACACAACTGAAGCTCTGCAAAGAATTCTGGACATTATTAATAATGTTACAAAACAGACTTTCAAGTGAGGAACCATAGCAATTATTAATTTCTGTGAACGCAGCAAGGCAGGGGGTTGTGAATAGCATCTGTGCTTTTTGTTGTTTACTTTATAGTTTCATTTCACTGTATCATGAAGCACTGTTACCAAGGTAGGATGAAATCAAAGTATTTGCAGTGTTGTGAACAGAGTGCTTAACAGGGAAAAGTCTGAAATATCTTACTGTGTTTCTAACATCATATAGTATTTATGACAGGTGAGCACTTATAGAATCATAAATCATTTAGGTTGGAAAAGACCATGAAGGCCCTTAATCCCAACCTACCTCCATCATGCCCACTGCCAAACATCCCACAGAGCCACATCTCCACAGTTCTTGAGCGTCTCTGGGATCGATGACTCCACCACTCCCTGGGCAGTATATGTGCCACTGCCTCCCTACTCTTCCTGAGAAGAAATTTTTCCTGAAGATTCCTTGCTATTGTAGCATAGTGTCAGTTCCTCACATTTAGATAAGTAAAATTTAGAGGTGTTTGATCAAGATTTTTAAATGACTCAGGTCACAAACCCAAACCCATCTTAAAATCCTTTGGCTTTCACCCATTTTTAAACACAAAAAGGAATGTCTGTTACATACAAAGATGCTGCATTCCAACAGTTCTGTGTGTAGCTCGAAATTCTAACTTGGAGCTTGTGAAAATTTTGCTTTCCTTTAGGTGTGTTAATAGTGGCACATGAACCTTGCTTCAGTCATCGGAGGGGCTTGAGGAAACTTCTGAGCCAAGCATCATATGATTGAATATGTATTTAGCCACGTCTTTTAATTGCTGTAACCCTCAGAGCAGGAGGAGCCTGTGTAATTCAGAGGTGATCAGAAACATGTTACAAACTGGGGGATGAGATACTTGTCACTCAGATATGTGTGTGTGCCTTGACAATTCCACCTTCAGATGTTCTCGTTTGCCCTCTGCGGCCGGCGGAGCGTTTCCGTGACCTGTGTCCTGAGGAGGTGGCTGATTTATTTCGTACGGCTCAAAGGGTTGGCAATGCAGTGGAGAAACACTTCTGTGCCACCTCGCTCACCATCACAATTCAGGTTTGTGAACCAAACTTCCAAACTTCTTCCCTAGGCCCATGACAAAAGGCTGTTCAAAACTTTAGGGGGCAATAAATGCACAACAATAACAAAAGGAAGTGGGCAGAGGGGAAGCACAGTAATGTTAGAGGATTGACCTTGTAGAGAAGGTAACCCACCGCTTGGGATGGAAAAAGGGAATTCCTGCTCTCCTGCTTGCCCCTGTTCATATGCAGGTAGATAGAAGTGGCCATCTAAATATGCTATCAATTCAGACCATTCAGATTTGTGTTGGGTTTGTACTCCAAAAAAGAACTCTATTTAAAACTATTTCAGGGACCAAGCCTTTTTTTATCAGAATAAGACTTTAAGAAAGCGTGCTTTGACTAAATTCTCACGCATCTGATTTTATATTCACGAGGATCAGAAACCTATTGCTAGCTATTCAAAAATACAATCTGAAAGCATGAAAATTAACAACTGTGGTTTTTGTGGTCCAAGATGCAGCTTCTCAATTTGCTGTGGCCTGATGTGGAAGGGCACAAGTCTGAAAACTTTGGGTGGAAGGGTCCCCTGGAGAATATGCTAAATTACCATGCAGTGAAATTGGATGTAAATGATTAATGACTGATATTTCTGAATCCCTGTGTGTGATCCTTGTTAGTTCGTCTAACCTGAGACTTCTCCCTTTGCTTACAGGATGGCCCTGAAGCTGGACAAACGGTGAAGGTGAGTGCTTATTATGCAGAATACAAATTAAGAGACAATTAGAAGAACTAATACAAAATCAAAGCTAGTCATCTGCAGACCATTGCTGTACCATTATGTTATCTTGAGTTCAAAAGATCCCAAGTGTGCAATAGCTGTAAATGCTTTTTATTGAAACTGCACAGGAAGATATTTACAAGTTTTTTTTTCTAGACTAAATTTTTCAGCGATGAAAATATCTTTTCCAAACTACTGGGTGTATTTATACAAGGAAAGCCATAAAAAGTAGCATCTTTTCAAGTTTTTTCTTTGTTTTATGGAGGAAAATGTTGCCCTTCCGTTCATCATCTCTTTGTTTGTCTTTTTATTGCCTAATGAATTGTAGCTAATTATAGGAACAGTTAAGCTAAACCATGTTATGAAAATACACCTTTTGTCTGTGCTCTCTCTCTAAATATTCTTATCACATTCTTGTTACAGAAGTTCAGATGTAATGGAGCCAGTGAAGCTTAAAAACAGATTTTAAGTGTACTTCTGAAAAAAAAGTTGGGGGATGGAGGGGAAAAGGATTTATGACTATACTCTCTACTTGAGTAATAACATAGATAACATCCAAGATGGCTCTCCAGCCATGTTTCACTGTCTCTTATTGCAAATGCATGTGTAGTTAGATTGTACGCCTAAACATTAGATAAAGGCTATTTTTTACGTTTGGAATCAAAGGAAAGTCAAATATGGCTATGGTTTAGTACTTTGTAAAATCAGATTAGATGGCTCAAAGAAGCTGCTTGGGTTGATTAAAATAACTCTAACAACCAAATAGTGTATAGAAACATTTCACTTCTTTCCAATTTGCTGCATTGGCCTTATTTTTCCTGTGCCTTTTTGTTGTCTGCTTTGAATATTTAGCAGGGAGGTGATAGGGAGAGAAAAAAAGAAATTAGAAAATCCCCACGCTTTGGAAAGCTGAGCAGTGATAAAGGAGTGTAATAGAATTTACTGCAGTACTGCAATAAAATAGATTCTTCAGGTCATGGCTTAGAGTGTATTGGGTGGGTTTCACTGGGAATGCTTTTTGATGGGTGAAAATGTCATGGTTTAAATACTTCCCTGAATAAATTTCATTATTAAACACCAACATGTCTTAGCAAATGGATCACAGGATTTCTTTTACTATCTTGGACAAGTATTTTTTCCTGCATAAAAAAGAGTTTATGGGGATGAGTATATTAAAATGTGAGAAAATTTGCTGAATGAACACAACCAGATGCAAAAATCCCCATCTTGTGTGACTGTGAACAATAACAGATGTTTCTGTAAGTCTTAGAAGGGGAAGAGATTCTGTATAATTCTGTATTCATGTTGAATTCAAGACAATACAATTCATGTTGTATTCAAGACCATTAGTCTGTCCAGTACCCTGCAAATGATACCCACCCTTAGCACTTCCATCTCACACTTTTAATGAGCAGTGAGATGAAAATGACCCACTTACAGCTGCGTACCCCAGACTCCATAATAAAGTCTGTGTGCTCCTAAACTGGATGTTAACAGTTTGCTTTTCTCTACTTTTCTGCATCATTGGGCAACACTGTAATACATCATCATCACTTTAGGATGTTTATCATCTGAAACTGCCAACAACTATTTTCTTCAGAGAACTTAGAGCTTTCAAAACTGGAATTGGGAAGAAATTACTATGATCAAGATCTTCTATAAAGTGAACAATAGGGAGGGTACATAAATAGCTGGTTCTGCTTAAATTCCTTTGAATCAAGAAGTTTGAAAAAGCACCTATATGATCTATGAGTAATTTATGAACTCTGAATTCAGTGGGCCATGTGTTTATGAATGTGTTTTTTTCTTCACTGTTATCCTGTTTTCCTCTAAGGGAACTTGTAATTAAAATTTCTGGAACAGACTTAATATTAGAAAAACATTCTAATAGTAAGAATAGCAGAGCATCAGAATAAGTATCCAAGGGAGTTTGTGGAGCTCTGTTTCAATAGGGTAGGCAAGCATGTGTCAGGAACTAATTAGGTATAGCTGATCTAGCTTTGAATGGAGGCACATACCAGATGGCTTCAGGAGTCTATTCTATTTGTGTTTTGTATAATTCCATATACCTGTATAAATGTGGGCTGCTGCATGTGTTCCTCAGGAATTGAATTACAGGAAATAAAAAGAGTACTAGCTGTTAAGCTGATAGTTGCAAAACTCCACTACAAAATGGAATGAGCTATCAGCTCAGCAGAAAACAAAAGCTGACTGAGAAAGTTTATCTGAAAAAGATTAAGAAATTCTTTTTCATCAAGGAGGTATGGTTGGACCTCAGTTTGAGTACATCTCAGGTCTTTCTTTGCTATGGAGACGGCTGAAATTATATGTCTATGCACCAGGTTTAAAGGAGATTACTTTTCAGTGTGATTTTTGGATAGAATCAACGGTAAGATATTGTTTGCCAGTGTTAGATCTTCGCTGTGATAGTGTGAAACCTGCTGGTGTGTGCAGCTTCCAGACAGACATACTGCAATGTCAGATACTTCAGTGGTGCCTGTACTGAAACATTACTAGTTATCTAAATGGAACCTGTTCATCTTCTAACAGGTAGCTCTGCAATTGTTGTGATCCTTTCTTTGTAGATACCATCTGCCTTTGAATTTAAGATATCAGAGCCTGCAGAATGGTATTTCAGGAAAGCTCATGGACCTTCCAAATTCTCCCGTTAATGAGATCTGTGTGTTTGTCTTTGGAATAAACGCTATTGCCGATCTTCAGCTCACCGTTACTTTGGAAGTGTAGATGGCTCTTTTCTCAGGCTTTTGCAATTGGAAAGAATACATTTGCTAAGGAATCATATTGCAGGTTTCAGACTATAAAGAAATACGAAGTATTGTTTTGTGATCTTTTCCACAGCTGCCCAAGGGTTGCACACAGTCTAACCCCATCACCTATTCATGGCAGGGACAGATGGCTCTCCGAAGGTGCTCACAGACGTGCACACTTGGTGCTTTATTGTAAGAAGTTCTTGTACCAATACGCAACAGAGAATCTGAGTATCTCTTGGGTCAGCAAGCATAACCATCTTCCAGCATTAAATGCTTTCTGAATTCTTATTTTCTTCTGACTTAAGAAAAGGAGGAAATTGTATGGAAGTCCTATCTTAAAGAATATCTACATCTGCAATTTCGAGCTCTGTCTTTCTTAGTGAATGCAAAACCTACAGTGTCCTTCTGCCAGGAGTGGAGGATGAGTTTCACACTGGTTCTGTCTGAGAATGCCTTAAATATCCAGGCAATTTCATGGATCAGGGAAATCAGCTCTGCATCTTAATGCAGAGCTCTTATTGCTATGTCAAGTGAGTGACGTTTCAAGATTTTCCCTGGTGTATTTTATAGCCTTCTTTCCAACATCAAGTCAGCAAATGCTCTAGCTGCCTTGGTGGATGTATAGCGTAGCGCAGAATAAACTCTCAGGTTTACCTTTTATGTGAGATTCAATCACAAGAAATTCTGTACACTCTGTGCTCTGTAAAGGCTAAACAAATCAAGCTGGCAGGAGCATGATGCAACTAATTTATCTGTAGAGACAAGATAATATTGCACAGCAAGTATCCATTGTGCTAACACATATGAACACACACTCTATTTTGCAGCTGTGTCAAAGTCTCTGTCAGCTCAGCACCTCCACTATTATCCATGGCCTGTTTGCCAATTACAAGTTCACCTAAAGAAATGAGAAATTGAGGCTGATGGTGGCAGTGTAGGAATATGTGCGTAAATTTTTGTGTGTTGCACATTCCACTAATTATTTTACACTGAGAAGATTGCCTAACCATTATTTTTTGATGTGCATGTTTTTCTTTCCCAGATGTTTTTTAATGCTGTGTTAAATCAATCCACCTGGCTTTCATTCCTTAGAAATCTTCACCAGAACTGTGGAGCGTAGGGTTTATTTAAGCCCACAGGAGCTCTTCTGTACTATTTGTCTACTTGTCCCTGAATGTGGAGTACTGGACTTCAGGTCTGAGTCGTTAAATGTAATCAGATCACATTGCAGCCTGATTGCATCAGAAGGTTTAAATTCACCAACTGCGGTACTCCTGATGCCTCAGCCTGCTTTCCCTGCAGGCTGGCAGATGTGAGCTTCTGTTCAGTGGAGTATTGGAGGCTACCTTTTTCTCCCTTAAAATAACAGGGAAAAAAAAAAATACTGGCATTTGAGAAATGCAAAAATGTCTTACCTCTAAATGAATGTAAAATTTCAAGTAGAAAACACATGGAAGAAAGAGCAAGCTTTAGGAAAACATTCTGCACTGAAACATGAGCAAATGGTCTTGTTTGCTTTACTCTTAAGAACCATGATTTTTGTGAAAGCTTGTGGGATACCCAGAAATGGTCTGATGCAGTACAGCAATCTCTTGAAAGTGCTTTGAGAACCACACTAATATTTGGTGGGAGCGTGTGTAGCATTGCAGCAAATTCAGTAGTTCTAAGGCTGTATATCTGTTTTCAGATAAACATTTTCTTTCTATTATGGTACTGTATTTAGGTTAGAGTGAAGTTTGTAGGATGTTAATGCTGATTGTTTGCAAAACTAGGACTGTAGTGGCCCTTAACAGCGGCTGGAAAGCAGCTAGGGCATCTAGATTGTTTGACTCATGCCAACCACCACTTAAAGCCCTTTATTAGCTTTTGTTTCCTACTCACTCCAAATAATAATGCTTGCTCTCTCCTTCAAAAATCTATTCAAAATCAGCCTTGTGTTTTTCTAATGTTCCTTACAGTCCTTTAGCCAGGACTGTGTTTTCTATGACACAACTAACAGATGCAGCCCTAATGTCTTTTTTTTAAATTATTTTTTTAAATATATATCAGGACCTCACTTGTGTTCATTACATACATCATACTGCTTTTTGTTTTTTGTGTTCACAGCCCCAAAAGGCACTGGTTCCAGATGTACCTTTAAATCTGCCTTTAATACACACATAGATTGCTCTGAAAGTAATGCCTCCTATTTAT